ACTCAATGATTCTGCCTGACCTGTGGTGAGATGTCTTTCGAGCTTTGCCGCCATGTAAGTGAAACTCGAACCTCTTTCTAACTCCCGCACCTATCGCATAACTATTACGGTGGCTTTTGGTGGTGGCATCGGTCAGGGGCATGTTCCGAAGTACTCCCGGAGTCCTGGGTGCGGGCTGCACTGTATGAGCAGGCCGTGTGTGCAGGACTTAGGGGCAGATCCGAAACCATCATTGAGCAGCGAGTGGCGGAGCCTGAGGCGACTGTGCACTTCTGGCTGGCAGGCAGACCCCTGAGCTGAGGTGTCACAGCCGTGCAGTGGCCTGTCGCCTCCTGTGCGGCCTGTCCTGTGCTGGAGTTCCACCTCTTCGCTGCTGCTCCCGAGCTGAGCTAAACACTCACACCATGCTTTCCCAGAACCTCTCTCTATTTCTCCTTCTTCAGTTCTGGACATTGAACCCAGGGGCTCTAGCGTGCTAGGCGAGTGCTGTGCCACTGATCTACAACCCCACTCTTTAAATTTTTTTTAATTCTTTTTTTTCTCAAATGAACAAACAGAACGTATCCTTATTATTTTTGATAAAATTGCCCTCCAGCCCCCTGAGAACGTGGGATTGCAGGAGTGCACCACCCCTGCACTTACCTTTGAAACATGGTGGCTTCTGTGAGGTAGTCAAGAGGGAGGAGGGCTATTATTGTACAGGATGCTTTCATTGTCACTAAAATAATCTGCTGTCTACTGGCTCCACAGAATCTTTTTCTTTCTGTGCCACTTTACCAAAGAATCTGTCCAGTGACACCTGCTTTTGCCTCCTTTTGAGGATTTTGCAGAAATGAGACACTGCGTTGTCATTAAACAGATTCATCGCTCATGCCAGTGGCATAGCTGAATTTTACAACTCACTGTCGCAGCCAACTGCCCCACATGTGAGGCACTGCTGAGCTTTACGGCTCAGTGTAGCATCTCTGGAACACAGCTCTCATAATTTGAAGGTTGGGGAATCTGCTAGTAAGTTGAAGAGGTGGGAAAAAGCCTTTATTCACTGGCAAGTGCCATTGGGCTCAGAGGATTCTGAGCACTCTACCAGAAATGAGAACCTCCCTCTACAGGGACCTGCAGGGTAGGTAAGCGTGCTCAATTAAGCGGGGCTGTGGTGGAGGGGGTGGAGTTCAAGAACTTTCCGGAAGCAGAGGGGCCGAGTCACAGAACCTTCCTGGAGGGGGGACGCTTAACAGAGCCTTCTTGTGAGGGGACAGAGCTTAACAGAACATCCCTGAAAGGACACAAAGTTCAAACAGCCACAAACCATTTTGACACATTGGGTTGGGTAGGAGCCCAGCAGCACAAAGTTACATTTCCAAAACAAAATATTTTGTGGGAAAAGAAAGTGGAGGCAAGGCCAGGGCTTGTGTGATTGTACAGCACTTCTCTATCAGTTGTCTTTGGGGGAAATGACTGTGATAGGTGTCTTCCTGTCAGCTTCACGGGCATTAATGTGCCACGACGTGTTTCCTAAACAGAGCATTACATTACTCTAATGTCAACGAAGTTGTAGCATCACTCTGAAACCAGCAAGAATTTAAAGCAAAAGGAATTGGATATGTTGAGTGTAGACACCATGAGACCTCTAAAACTAAAGGTATGACAGAAAGGAAAAGGATTTTGGAGCATCGTATGGATTGATTTTCATTTCTAAACACTTGTGCATCAATCTCCATAACCCACACAAGCAAGAAATTTATTTATTTATTTATTTTGGTACCAGGGATTGAACTTGGGTTCTTGTGCTTGCAAGGCAGGCCACCAAACCACTGAGCTAAATCCCGGCCCAAGCAAGAAATTTTGTAACCTTTTCTATTGCAAACAGAAGGTCCTAATGGTCACGAGTGAGGTGGCCCTGGTGGGTGTGGCCAGCTCTGCATTGGCCTGTTGGTTCTGTGACATCACAGAAGCCTCTGTGAGGTCACGGCAGTTATCTATATAAGGCGTGGCTCGGGTGGGTCTGTTGTGGGTGGAAGGAGACTGTTTAGAGTTGAGTGGAGATTAGAGTTGAGTGGAGATTATCGTTGATTTGATGACTGCTTTGGTGCTATGGGTAGTATAGGGAATCATTACCCAGTGCCCAGCAGGGTTCATGGCAAGTGTAGTGAGGGAGCATCCTGTCTGGGCCTCATGACCAGCGTGTCTAGACGGGGACTTCGGGAACACTACAGTGTGGTACGCTTTATCGGCAAAGGCGGATTTGGCAAAGTGTTTCTAGCTCAACATTGTGCCACAGGCATGCAGGTAGCGGTGAAAAAATTAACAAAGGCAAGGGCGCGAAAGGCCAGCATTATGTCAGAGGTGGGACTTCTGAAGGACCTTCAACACCCGAACATCACACAGTTACTAGAAGTTATAGAGACCAGGCGCAGAGTCTATCTAGTGCTCGAATATGTGCATGGAGTCAACCTACGGAAAGAGATCTGCAGAAGCAAAAAGAACAGGCTGTGGGAGAAGGAGGCCCAGAGGATTTTCAGAGACGTCTTGGCAGCGGTGGATTACTGCCACAGACAGGGCATTGTGCACGGGGACCTCAAGCCTGAAAATGTTTTGATCAACACCGAAGGTCGGGCCAAGATCTGTGACTTCGGGTTGGGGATCCGGTTCCTCCCCGGGCAGGAGGTGACCGCAGTGGGCGGCACACTGGCCTATTACGCACCCGAAAGACTCTCGTGCCGGCGGTACGAAGCCCCTCCCCTGGATGTCTGGGCCCTGGGAGTGACGTTATATGAAATGGTTGTTGGGGATCATCCCTTTTATCAGGGTGAATCGGAGACGATCAGAAATATCCTTCGTGGGAGGGTCTCTTACCCCTGCTTCGTCTCCTGCAAAGTCAAACACCTTATTAGCAACATCCTGAGCCGGGACCCCACGAGGCGGCCAACACTGCAGGAGGTGCTGAAGCACCGCTGGCTTCAGAGTGTCCGGCCCCCCAGTCCTCCGGAGCCGCTCCCTGTGCCCACGAAGAGGGCAATCCTTAGCCGAATGGCTGGAATGGGATTCAACGTGTTAACAGTGATGGACTCCTTGAGGAGGAAAGATTACAATCACAACATGGCCACATTCCTCCTGTTGCAGAGCCAGGCCCTCCAGGGGCCTGTGCATGAGGCTGCAGAAGAAACACCGTGGCCCCTGGCGGGTCCTGCACCCTCAGCTCTCATCCCCTGGAGGAGGGCCAGCGAGCCTGCCCCCTGCCCTGGCCGCTCATGCCCCAGCGTGAAGCCCGGAGGAGAGCAGGGTGGCAGAGGCTCCCAGCCACC